AATAGGATACACGCTAATTACTGAAGGCACATCACCGTAGAATATTCCGGCGTGCGTTCTTTAATTGATAATGACGACGACGCATTTACTCACTTTTTATTTATTGATAGGCGTAGCGACGGAGGGATAGATATAATTTGTGAAATAAGAAGGATCACGATCTTGATCTAATGCAAGAATAGGGATATAAAAATAGGTAGGTTTTTGCGTTAATTCATGTTTGATTTGAAGAATTGCGTTAGTAGTAAGTATTATAGGGCCCTCCGTCGTTCGTGAATTGAGAGAATGGTATGTCTAAGAGATCGGTATCTTCGCGATGAATGAAGCCAAGTCACCTAGATTTTCCATCATACTTGCCGATATATCCAATTTCACTATAATTACCCTTATTCTCGCCATTGATTCCCTCCAACAAAGACCTTTCGACTTTTCCTTTTATCACGCCGTATACACACTTTTCTTACATAGTCGTTATTTCCACTCCGTTTAATTTAATTTCTACCCTTGTCATTCCTTAATACATGGGTCACTCGAGCATTGACTTCCACGTGGTGTGACCTGGATAACCAACCAACGATATATTTTACTTTGCTCTCATACGAATATTTGATGAAGCTATTTCTACTATCTTGTATTTTTTATTATTTCTACATGGCTCGATTTTGAATAAATTATCATATTTATTTCGAGATTTTACGTGTCGGAGATATTTGTATAAGGTTGATATTAATAATTATTTTTGGTATGTAAAGTACAATAAATCCTATAGTCTAATTATTTTTAAGATATGAAGTTAATAGTATCAGAAAATTAAAAAGTCCATGAAAAACCTGACCTCTTGAAAAATTCCTTGTATGGTTAACTAAGAATTCCAAACCCAAGATATCGTCCCGTTTTATACATGTGATCAGGTACATTAAGTGCCCTTTTTTTGCAAGTGAGATTAATCGTCGGGTTAAGAAAGAGGTCTCAGCGATTATAATGATAAAAAACTTTTGACAAATTTATGCGAAAAATTACTACGGTCAACTCTTGATAAAAGAAACTGTGTTTGATAATCGATGCATTAATCAAAAATTTCCGGGTCCCGGTTTACTCAATAAAAGAAAGTTTGATACACGGGGAGGATTTCAAAAAAATTTGAAACCTTTTTTAAATGTAAAAAGTTGTTACATAATAAACTTTTTATTATTAAATTAGAATTTTATTAATAACATTTAAGCTCTACATTTATACAAAATTTTTTTTTAATTTTTGGAGTTTAATTATAATATATGTACGTATAACTTATTAAAATCAATGTTTTAATAGATAATATGTTATTAATTGATCTTGTTTATTATATTTTTGTTTACTTGCATATTAAATTTTATAAATTTTTAAAAATCTGCTCAGTAAAAATATAATTTTTGTCAATAAATAGTTAAACTTTAAAATTATTATCATCACTTTATAATCATTGTTTCTTAATAAACTTTTTATTTTATTAAATAAATTGATTTTAATTGATTATATAAATATATTCATTATAGTGAATTTTATTTATAGTAAATTTTTTATTAAATTTTAACAAAATATTATAATGTAATATATAGATATTAATAAAAAATAAATTTTAGAAAATAATTTTAATAAATACATAACAAAATAAATATTTTGTATATAATTGCAATTCTAAATAAATTATAAAATAATTTTATTATTTTTTAAGAATTATATTTATAATTTATATAATATAATATTTATGGGATTTATATAGATAAGTATATATTGTATATAATGTATTTTAATAAAATACTATCAATAAAAATTTCAAAAAAAAAAATTAATTTTTATAATTTTGTAAAATTTTTTGTTGTAAAGAATTAATATTTTTGATTATTTTGATTTTTTTTTTTTTTTTGTTAAATGAAATTTATAATATCTTCATTTGTAATATCTAAATTTTCAAAACACAAAAAGAAACAATTAGTTAATTATTTAAATTTTAATAATTAATATTAAAAAAATAGGCATTTGAAGAAAAGAGTATATTAATATGAAGACTTTTTTACTAATTCTTTAATCACACATAACTAACTCATAAGGCTTATACGTTTTTATGGAACCTGAAATAGGTTATTGTTAATTTTCTATATGCTATGCTTAATAAAATCTTGCATTTAATACTTGTTTCGTGGAACTTTAATATTAGATTTTTTAAAGCTACCATATTATTGTAATGAAAATCCTATTGCTTGCTAGATCTATTCGGCCAACTTGTATCACCGTGCTAAAAAAAAAAAAGTTGATTCTGTCATGTGATGATTTGCTATTGTGAACCGAATCGGTTGAAGTCTACGTTACGTGCCTACGTGATCATATGCGTATACGCTATAAATTCGATAATTTAGAAAAAGAATTCGCACTTTGTGCCATTGGTATATCTTCCAAAAAAAAAAAAAAAAAAAAAATTCTTCACTCCGAAAGTCAGCATTACCAATGTCGTTAAATGCAAAGTTCCTTCAAACTCTTCAAGGTAAAAAAATGTTTATCGAAAGGAAAAAAAGAACGCGCATTTTAGTTATGTGAACTCATTCTTTCGCGAACACTGTTCTTGGCATGCACTTCCTGTAATGTAGAGAGTCAGCTTATAACTTTAGCCGTTGCCACTCTCGCGGTCGTCGGCGCCTCATTTGTATCTTTAAAAACCCTAAGCTTTTTGAAGCTGATATTTGACGTTTATGTGCGACCCGGGAAAAGTGTGAGCGTGTTTTCAATTTCATGGAAAGGAAAAATTTTTTTAAATTGACCCATCGATTCGTCTCTTATCAATACAAAATATTTAGTTAAAGAATTTTGGGGCTGGAGCGGGTGCCTGGGCAGGTAGGAAAATTCCTGTGATGTCAATTATCAACTATGGATTGTGCTTACTAGGTCACACCTATTAGTTATTACCGGTGCTTCTGACGGTATCGGAAAGGAATTTGCCTTGCAACTCGCGGCCGCTAAATTTAATATTCTTCTCGTATCTCGCACGTTCTCTAAATTACAAGCACTGGGCGAAGAAATTGGTTTGTGTTTTTTGCAAATTTTAGATTAAAATGATTTCATCATGTTTACGTGTATTTCGTTTATCGTTTTACATCATCATCAGAAAAAAAATATCAGGTCGAGACGAAAATATGTGCAATGGATTTTACTAACGGTGAACCGAAAAATTATCAAAATCTAAAGGAAATAATTAACCAACTTGATGTTGGAGTGTTGGTCAACAATGTTGCTATGAATCATGAGATTCCGACACCATTTATCCTTGAAACTGACGAATTGATTCAGAATATTGTTGAAGTAAATATTTCTGGACTTTTGAAAGTTACAAAAATCGTATTGCCAGGCATGCTATCCAGGTTTGCTATCTATTTTTTTTTTTTAATGGACAAAGTTAACCTCTGTTACGAACTCTAACGTTTGACGCTGTATTTACAGAAATCGGGGTCTTATTATTAACGTTGGATCTTTTTCAGGAATGGTCGCCACACCATATTTATCGGTCTACTCAGGTTCAAAAGCATTCATGAATACTTGGTCACAAGCATTGGGGGCGGAACTTAAGTCGAAAGGAATTGTCGTGGAAAACGTCAATACTTATTTCGTGGTACGGAAATAAAAAACTATTGAATGACTCATCAAATGAAGTTATCATCTATTTTATAACATTAACCCTAAATATCACAGGTTTCTGCAATGTCAAAAGTGCGAAGACCATCTTTCTTAATTCCTTTACCAAGACCTTATGTCAAATCCGTGTTAAACAAAATTGGCGTACCAGGTGGTGCCTCATGGGTACCGTTTAATTCCAACACCTATCCCCCACATGCTCTCGCCAATTGGGTGATCACAAACACATTTCCGTGGAATTTCTGGGTAAACCAAGCACTAGGCATGTTATCTTTATTTATTTATTAATAATTTATTATCCGTTGTTTGACTAATAATTTTATTCACTGTCGCAATCTATGTGAAATAATAATAGCTCACCAAACAGATATTAGGAAACGGGCTTTAAGGAAGAGGGAAAGGGAGGCAGCGGCTGCGAAATCTCAATGATTAATAGTTTAATTACTCATGACGTCTCTCATCGAAACATCTAGATACTTTGAATAACGTTTTCTTTTTTGGATCAACTGTTTTACCCTTGATATTTATATATTTATAATACGATTACAAGTTACGCGTTCGTTTGTTAATTATAATACACATTGTAATTCCGTAATAACAGACTTTGCAAAGAATAAAGCATATTTTCTAATTGAGAGATATTGATAAAAATGTATATAATGAAGAGACAATCATTACAGATACGTACGCAGAGCACCGTGATCAAGACTTTTAACCGATCAGCGCTTTAAATAGCCCACAAATACGTCAGATTGCAAAGAAAATCAATATTTTTTTTATTCATGATCATAAATTTTCTATATATAAATTTATACAGTATATTAAAGTGAATAAAGAATAAAAATTTTTTTTTAATTTTTTAAAAACAAATTAATATGGAAAAGGTTCTTTATAACAAACATTTCAATATTTTATATAATTTCTAATTTCTAATTAAATTTAAATTAAATGAAATATTTAAAGCAAAATGAGTTTTAAAGAATGAACAAATCACAAGAAAATTATTTCGCACATTCATCTACTTTTTAGTTGAAGTTCTTGACTGTACACCAATTTTTATATTGTCAACAAAAAACATCAAAAGATGATTTATATTTTATATACAGTACATATATGGTGAATTCTTTTATAAAAGAAATCAATTAATAAAGTCAATAAGTTAAATGCTAATGACCATCGAAACATTGAAAAGGATTAACACCTAAAACCATCACATTCTTAGAAAATGTAATGATTTGCATATTTCAAAAAGTTAGAAACAATCCAATATCCGACAATTAGGAAAACTATTTATTATTTGGCATACGACATATGACAATTTAAATATAGCGAGAGATTATGTATATTTTGATGCTAACCCATTTTGGTGTAAGCATATCGGGCAGTCCAAATTGCATTAAGCATTCACAATTAAATTAAATTAATTCCAAATATAGAATGAATGCACGGTGCATACATCTTTTGAATGTTAAATTGTGGCTCAAACAACTTTAGGTTCACTCACTATCTATCTTACTTAAAAGTTTGATGTGAGACAAATCAATGAGATTGCAGAAAATCCCTTGTTTTCCAAAGAACTATTATCTTCTTAACGAGGCTTGGTTTAACTTGACTTGAGTAACAATGAATTCCATCGCCTCTGATTTTAATATATCCTTGACAGGATAACCGAGTGAGGCTTCATATGCGTGATTTATAACTGTATCGGTAATGCTCAAAAAGTTTCTTCCCAGGGCATTAATACAGTTACATACACGTGCGATGGTTTCCCGAGTGATCTTGTCAATAGGCTTTTAAAGGGAGATGGTTAATGATGGGATGAAAATATTAAAGCTTGACAAGATGAGAAGTCCAACCTCGTTTTCATTGGAATACATAGCTTCAGGGTCCACATCCTCTGAAGACTTTAAGGGATGTTTGCTGACCCACACATATCCATTCAGTCCTAAAGTGACGTCAACTCCACATGGTAGTGTGTGGAAATGGGTTTTAGATCGTTGAATTAGTGCCGGTGGAACAACGAGAAATGATCCATTACGTAGCTAAAAGAAAAATCTTGTAAACATCTGGTTTATTGAATCTCATTTTTTCATTGACTTGGCGACCATATACTTTGCCATATTTCAAGTTTTTCAAGTTTCGTGTGTGTAAAGATGATGAACCATCTTGAAACGATCCCTGAACCTCCGCCTAGATATATATGATTCTTTAATTCCTTGAAGAATGAAGTGTGAAGAAAGATGAAAATGTTTACGAATGGCATACCGCCAATAGATCCCCCTCGCAGAAAAATTTTCTCATTTGAAGCTCATCGGCTTCCGTCTTACGCCTCTGCATTCCGTTGAAGGTGGTCAAACCAATGATCTATGTGACCCATATCTTTGCACAGGTGCGGTAGAAATCCCACCCACCTGAACTCCTCCTGGAAGATCGATAGCGGAAAGCAATAGCACAGCGTCTTGACGTGAATTTATATCAACTTTCCATCGTTTATTTGAAACCTGAAAGGGTTCTCTCCATTGAAATCAAATAATAAAAGCAAACGGCAAGCATCATCATATGTAAGAAAGAAGATCTGTACCTCGGCTATCCGACCAATTACCAAATCGCCAATGTTTCCAGTATACCTGGATCAACAAACGTTCCTTAGCTTTGTCAGCTTGCCTTTGATAAAGTTTTCCTGTCGTTTTAACTTATACCTCGCGTGTAAGGACCGCACGGAAATCAACTTGTTAACCCTTTCCACAACACCGGCCACTGAGGAGAAATGAATTTCATCTTTAAGGTAGGTTCCGTGTCCTCTATGAGAAGGTTGGTTTAAATCAACTTGCGAAAACGTTTTTGAAAATTCTACGTTATTAAATGTTACCCCATGTATTTTGTGTCCGAAGTAATCGCTTCCCCAGGCGTAACCACCTTTTTCTCAAAGCTTTCCCTTTGAGATTTTATAAGCATATCAATATCACCATCGGCATCCTTCTTATCCTCAGCAGAGGATGGCTTGGGGAAGAGGAAATGAACGCTCATGACCGAAGATTAAACCTCGCCTCTGCACGCGTCGGAATTAAGTTTATATCATAGATTTCACGTGCCTACTGTACTACATATAGCATTAAATTTTGCGGTCGACTGAGCACATTTTTTTGAATAGACCTCAATGTACTCTTCTGTTTTTTCTCGTTCAGCTTTACGTGCTCGTGCTGTGACTCGTCCGATTCGCAGTGATGTTTACCACTGGGAAAATGTTGACGGCTCGGTGAGATATAATTCTTGCGTGCAAATTTCATCAAAACCTTTACCTTACTTCGGTGTACTTCGCATGTAGCATCTCCCTTTTAGCACCAAAAGTAGAACCGGACTCGCCGTAAAAATGACGCTGTATCTGGGCACAGGATTTGCCTTACCTTTTATTGGTAAGGAAATTTTTTATTACTTATTTTTTTTTTTTCTTCCTCGATATTCCTGTTCAAACCTAACCAATATCTTTAACCAGCTGCATGGTGGCAATTGTAAGTTGCAGAGTATTTTTTTTTTTTTAATTTATTAATAATTTTTATTGATCAATTTTAATTCAATTCCTAACAACGCTAGTCACAAGGCCGGGAAACCCTTTTTCAGAACTGGTCCACCTCCTTCTTAGACTACTATAATTAATGCGAGGGCCGAATGAATATTTAACAAGAGTTTTTCAACAATGTACGAATTCAATAAATATATTCAATTCAACAAAAGGTTTTAATCATCCTCATCCTCATCCTCATCATAATCCGCGCTGACCAATGAAATAGTGACTACAAATTAGATTGAGATGATATAGTAGCTTAAGTAAAAAACAAAAAAACAAAAAAAAGAATTCGCAGACAATTTTAAACCTAGAAATTTCGCCATCTCTCTCTACCTTCGCTTGGGCTGGTGTTTTGCCGATTTATGCCTAATGTCTTTTGTGCTTTTGATTCGTTATCTTCGACCTTTTTACCATCCTCTTTCTTCCTTACAAAGGTCAGTTCCTTGTTGGTGTCGCCACCCTTTCCTAAATTATCACTGTTCCAGTCATTATTTTTAAGGAATGGGTCTATCTTAAGTTTCGTGTTCACCGAGACCATCGCGGATAGTTGGGCCACTTTGTTTTTAGGATCATCGGTGCGAAATATCGACCTTTTTTTAGACTTGGATGACTTGTTAAATATTGAGGAAGTGTTTATTTCAAGCTTTCGTTTCTGAGCCCGTAAGAGATGATCTAAAAAAAAAAAAGAATCGGTTGGCTGTCAGATTGCACAGTCTCGATTCATCTTGTTTATGAAATGGAAATACCCTTAAACTCTGTGGCCTTTGCCTCGGCCAAGTCTTCCTGTGATTCAGGCAATAATGGAATTGATAATGAATTTCGATCTCGGATTTCATCGTCCGCGCGCTTTTTAGCTTCCGTTATCTTTTTCTCCTCCTAGCAATTGCGTAATTTATAATGGTGAGTTTTCACGAAAATCGTAAATGGAGGAAAAAAATGAAAAAGAAATCCTACTCTGAATTTCTTACGCATTTTCTGAGAATGCGTGTATGGATCCGCCCATTGCCTGTCATTTAACCTCTTTTGGAAGAAAATAATAACCCAACAAACAATAAGCATTTAATATGTCTCGAGTGATGCGTGTATTTTTTTTTTTTTTTTTTTACCTGAAGTTGGGTCAGGATGGGAAGTGATTCTTTTGCTTTCTGTTCATCTTTGACGGATTGCTCAAGCTTGTAGAAAGCATTATCAGCCAATCTCTTTGCCTCTTCCTCATCTAGATTTTAAGGGTGATTTTAATTTTTAAATACACAACGACTCAATGCTGCAGCAATGATAAAAACCTTTGAGTTCGATGGTCTCGGTGTCCTCGGGTTCCCATGTCTCGACTTTCCTGCGAGCACCGGCAACCACCACGTATTCTGCATTCTGGATGGGTGATCTGCTTTAACTTGAAACGCGATAATGCCTAATTTGACATTGCACGATTCAAACTACTAGCCTACCTTCGGGTCCGTGTGTATCTCAATCCAATTATCACACAGATGACATTTCATCCGAAAGCTAAATATCGGAGTACTATAATAATTTCCTATTTTTTTCTTTTCAGCATTGTAGCGAACACCTGGTGACAAGTGGTCAAATGGAAGTAAGTGAGCGTATGGTTATCCACCAAAATAAGTTGTGAGAAGAAGCCGGTGGTACCTCTGCCAACATGATTCCCGCAACCTCCACACCAGATATTGAAAGGCAGTTCAAATCTTATTTAGAATTTTTATTCCGGGATTTCGTTGGTATTACTTTGACTTTATTAGAAAAGTATGTAAGATAGATCCTCCTCATCGGAAATCGTGAAGCAAACCTGACAATTAGAATTCCCTGATCTATTTTGCGAGCCCGATCACCAAGCGGGTGCTTTCCGACAAACTTGTTTACGGAACCCTAAAATATATTGAATAACACCAAGCCGTTACGTGAAGTGAAAAAAAAACAAGAAAAAAAACGACTCGGTCTCGTTTAATGAATAATCCAAGACGCTCCGCTTGCCTTCTCTGGGGTCCAATCGGGAGGATAATATTTATTGAATGGCTGCATTGTTATTTGATTATGTTTTTAGAGAGTTAAAGAGAAAATGGAGAAAATGACCAAAAATACGATGCACAACATTTCAGCCTAGATTAGGATATTTTAGGTCGGAATTTACATGTGCGACAACCAATCGTGCATCCGTCTTATCGTCATTACCTTATTACCTACCTACCCCTCGACTAATACTTTACTTTTTTTACGCTGAAACATGGCCAAAGGTAATAAACCTTTCTACTTTTATCCACAAAGGTTTTGTTTGCGATCCTTCAGTGCTTTGAATGTGTTGCGCCAGGGTGCTTTTTTTAAAAAACGCAAATTGGGCATGAACCTTCTATTGTGGCTTCGTGACTGAACACAATAAACTCTTCGGGATTCATTCTCATTAAATGAAAACCAAGAACGTTTTTAATCAGTTTAACCATCTATACCCACTTTTCCTTCAGTTCCCCGCAACTTTCGATTACTGGAAGAACTTGAAAAAGGTGAAAAGGGTATCGGCGATGGTACGTGTAGCTATGGACTTTCGAATGGAGATGACGTATATATGAGCGATTGGAACGCTACGATCATAGGACCCGGACATGTGAGTTGCGAGACTTTTTAAATGACTTGACGTCTCGATTATCACAAAACCGCTGACCGATTAGTTTCAATCTTCCGTTCAAAAAAAAAAAAAAAAAAAAAGACCATTCACGAAAATCGTATTTACAGCCTGAAACTTCATTGCGACGAAAACTATCCTGACAGTCCGCCGACCGTTTATTTCCTTTCCAGAATCAATTTGCCATGCGTAAATCAGCAAACGGGCAAGGTAATCAAATTAATAACGTGATTTCTTTTCTTTTCTTTCTTTTTTTTATTTTCCGTGATCGATTTGCGCAAGAAATTTTATGCCTCTTTTTCTGCATAGGTCGAATCCACTAAATTAAATTGTCTTGTTAATTGGAAGAGAAGTTATACTTTGGAAACTGTGTTGACGGAGTTACGTCGGTAAGTATCTGCACTTGGTCATTCATTACGTGACGTACACTTATAGGTTGCCTAGAATTCATTGATAACACCACGCGCATTTATCTTTGATAGCGAAATGGCCAATCCGCACAATAAAAAACTACTTCAACCACCGGAAGGATCTGTTTTCTAGCAAAGTTCAATGGTTAAAGGGTAACCCTACAGATGATCATAAGATAGACACTTTCAACATTACAGGTATTAGTAATAGTGATAGCCTCTGTAAAAAATTTTTTTATTCTATTCTATTTTATTTTTTTGTCATGTGGATAGGTAATAATGAAGAAACAGAATTAAATTGTACAAGTCGTTTTTTTTTTTATTTAATGTTTTTTTTTAATCTTACATTTTAAAGAATTTCGAGTCGTCCTTCCATAAAAATAATAATAAATTGCTATGGTTCAAGACGTTTTGGATCGCGAGGGAATAGTGAGCTTCTGCGAATGTCATCGAGATTTAGGTAAAACATCACAACCCGTTCTAACCCTAAACCACCATTAAAAAAAAAAAAAAATTTAAATTCAAATCGAGAATGTGGATAAGTGAAATCTGCAAGACCTACCGATACCTCCCCCGGCATGGGGCGGAGCACCTCTCTTGAAAGAATCGATGTAAGGTTGAATGGTGCGTATATCGACGCCATGTACCTTCGCGCGTTCTTCCAAGAACACCGGATCATGAATACGCTGTGCACCCGAGAGGATCTCTTGGCCGCGCATGAAAAAGTCGTACGAATTGGAATATCGCTAAATGTTGTAAAGAAAAAATATCGAATCATATTTATTAGCATAATAGAGTAAATAAGGTGGTAATGAGATGGTAAATTGTAGGCACATTATCATTAGAATCCGGCATTGTGTAGAAGGGACGAACCGCCAACGGAAATTTGTCAAGGATGTAAAAATCTGTTTTGTATTTTTCCTTGACCAATTTACCAAGAAACTTTTCTTTCTCGGTGCTGTGCGTACAAGAAAATGCAACGGTATTTATAATAAGATGATAACATAGAATTATGAAATGATACACCATGATGAAAGGCATGACCTAACCTGAGGTCTTCGAAATCACCGATTTCGGTACCATTCTCCCTCAACAATTGAACCGCATCTTTATATTCTAACCTAAGAGTTTTCGGATGGTACTCGAAATCGGCCGACGGATATTGACTTTTCACCGTCTTAATTTCCGAGGCGTATCGTGTTTTTAGTCCATCGAAAATAAAGACAAAAAGCTCGTCAAGAATGTCGAGCGCTTCGTGATAATGCTCCTCAAATGCCATTTCCAGATCGAGACCCATGAATTCTGTCATGTGACGATGAGTATTGGAATCTTCGGCACGGAAGACTATAAAGGAAGAAGCCAAACCAAGACTGCATTCAAAACTCCAGGCACGTTATTAAACTCTCCATCATAATTATTATCTTACCTGGGGCAATTTCGAATACGCGCTCAAAATCCGAGCAAATGCACATTTGCTTGTATAACTGAGGAGATTGTGCCAGAAACGCCTCACCTGTCCTCCCGAAAGGCATATAGTTAGTTTCATAACGCATACACCGCTTTATCAAACACAATCGTTTATCCTCGACCATGACTCACCCTTGAAATACTTGATGCTAAATACATTGGAACCACCTTCGCTGGCGGCTCCTATTATCTTTGGCGTGTGTATCTCGATAAATGATTTGGACAGTAAAAATTCACGAAACAATTGGCATATTCCAGATTGGATCCTAAAGATACCGTGATTCGCGACCGTCTATTGAAAAAAAAAAAAAAATAACGGCAATAATAAAATTAATGGTTCACGAATACTTTGCTTTGAAATTTTCGGAACAAACAATCAATGCGCGCATTCTACTAACTCGAAGATCGACAACACGGTGGTTCAACCGAGTTTCCAGCGTCACGCGGCTAAATTGTACATCCTCCTAAGTAGAATCAAAGAATTATAACGGACATAATATTCTAACGGCGCACGAGCAACGGAAACCTCGTTACTTTATTAAATTCTTCCTCACTCCTTGATGCATCTTCCAAGGAAAATGGAAGTCTACCATGAGTTTCGCTCATCACATAGAACTAGAATGTGGAAAGTTAAGGGGTCAATCGCATTGAAAACGACTACGATTGCAAACCTCCCATGTGTTACCTTTTTAATTTGTAATTCTGCATCGGATACTGTGGTGCTCTTGATTTCTTCCTGAGTCCGCATCACAATACCTTCTACGATGACAATTGATTCCACTGGAACGCTATTTGATTAAATGTAATTTCTTGAGTGTCGTTTTCCTTCACAACGAAGTTGATGAATCACGCGGTCATACTTTGAAGCAAATTTAACAAAATTCTTGCTGATATTGGTCTCATCGATGGTGAGAACTCCTTGGATAGTACTGTCCTGCTGCCGAAACACAAAAAATGCAAGTTTCGCGCCTACGAAAAAAAAAAAGAAACGCGAATTTTCAGACAAAATCAATCGATTCACATCGATTCGGTATCATAACTAGAAGTAACCTACTTGTCGCACGAGAGGTGTGCACACGAGCTCGAATGGTTACGGTTTCACCGGCACGACCAGCATTGATATCGGAGACACGGATTCTATTAACGCCTTTTGGTGTGGTCATAAAAATACGTCGACTTAAGCCAAACTAACGAAAGGTGTCGTCTTAACTGCTTTGCCTACCTTTCCTTTCTTGTGATTGGTTCATCGGTAACTTTCCATAGTTTTCGGTGCCATAGTTCTGCGGAGGAAGAAGACGAGTTCTTCAGATTTCTTTTCAAAAGAAAAAAAAAATATAGATGTAATAATATATATATCGCGAAAATTACTTCGGCAGCCGCACGGGCAGCTCTTTCTGCGGCTTCCCTTTCCTCGCGTTCTTTCTTCCTTCGTTCTTTCTCCTTTTCCTTCTCTAACTTTTTAATTGCCTTCGCGGAAAGCGAAAGCGGCTCTTCCTTGCTATTATCCATTCCGGAAATTATATGACGGCCATGTGCTGTGCCACCTTTCTCTACATTTTCTGGTTTGCAGGGATGGTAGGATCACTTACGTAATTACGATCCGACGTTAAACATCACACCCACGGAATCAAGTTTCATCTTACGCACAGAGCCGCGCACAAATCAAGATTTCCATCATTATCGAAGGGGCTTAAATTCCCTGTTTGAGATCACGTGATCCGGAGCATAACCAGGGAAAACATGCGCAAAGCCTCACTCAGGTTTCGCAAAAAAAAAATAATAAATAACAAGAAACATTAACAAGGCGTTTAGTACAATTAAGAAATTTCTTGATTTAACGTCACATGACTAAGCATTCCCTAACATCGCACACAATTGATTTTACAATTTATTATTATTAAAATTAATTAATTTATACTTCATGATATAGTAACTGTGAAAGAAAGCAATTATAATTACAGCAATAAAGTTATCATTATTCCATCACTGATGAAGGTGATAATAGTTTCTACGGGGTTACATCCTCGACTCGATGTCTGTCTGATCGTAAGATCATTAATGTCAAAGAACGAGGGTTTCTAAAGTGTTCTCACGCCATGTCCCGCGTGATGACCAATCATCCCTCACAGTCTGTCAATCACCTCATGTTGCCCCTAAATTCTCCTCTGACTCTCCTCCCGGTTTCCTTCTCCACCGTCTCCCAAGTTCGTAGAAGATTCACCGCCGGTATTACCAGCGATTTGAACGTTCTCAAATTGTTCCGGTCGGTTTCGATCATAATTTTCCGGAGGATAGGATGTCGTGGGCGCGCTACCATAATCGTAATATTGTTGTTGACCGCTATCCGAGGCGACCGACGAAGTCTCGGTGAGATATGTGTCATCATATGGTGCGCTGGGTAGTAATTCTACGTTTTCATCATATTCTATGTAAGATGGGTGAACGGCACCGGCTGCTTGCTGCTGACGTTGCCTCTCCTTTCGCCTCAGCCTATTGAGCCTATTGCGTTCCCAATCCTCCCATCGTTTCAGTGGAACTCTGGAAGGGTCAAATTTTCCTTCCTTCTTCCCGTGATCATCACCTTTGGATTCACCTTCAACCTTCCTGGATTTGATGATGACAATGATGACAACGCAATTATTAATGTGAGATGCTTGCTAGAAATGAACTTGCCAATACAAACCTAGTCTCGCCCCACGTGAAATCATCAAAATGCCAGTATGCGTAGGCTGGTAAAACAAAATTCCAGACAGGTAAGGCCAATAGGTAAACAAACATCCACGTGATATATATTAATTTACGTGTGGTCAGCAAAATCAGTATAGCTGGTAGGCCAAGTACCGCAGCCAGCATGAGCAACGGGATAGCTTCCGAAAATTCTTTTGGTGGTTTTAAGATGGACGATATGATCAACCAGAAGGTTAGAATTATGGCAACCGGCAGAACGATGGTACCCTGTAGGTCCATGAAAATCACGAATTGCATCGAAATGCAAAAAATTCCGCAAAGATTTCGAACAAGAACCAATTCCATCAAATTGTGAATTGTCGAGTTGATCCATCGACGGCGTTGTGAAAGTAGTACGTTAAACTCGTCGGGAACGACAGTTTTGCACACGGCTTGCGGGCAGAAAGTCATCTTTCGGTAGGGGAAGTTGCGGAGCATGAGTGTGGTCAAGAAACGATCTTCACCGAGAAGTAACAAATTCTTTTGATGCAACGTATTGACTACATTTTGGGAATATTCCTGAACGATTTCGGGCTTTGTAATGATCGGTACCCAGTCGTCATCACCTTTGCGAGCTTTCAGTCGATACATACAGAAGCATCCGGGCAAGCATGTGACACCGCCAAAGACGGACTCAAATCCTTTGCCGAGATGATGGGAGACGTAGTATTCGAACACTTGGATGGCCGTCACCCAAGAGTCACGTTTGTTTGCAATCTTCGTTTCACCACACAATCCCATTATCAGTTGATCGTTACACATACAATTTACCAAGAGTCTAAGTGAATCGGGATAAACTTTGGTGTCGGCGTCCACCTTTTCGTGTGGTCAAAAAAAAAATTTGGCATTAGAACATAAGAACCTCGTGTGAAAATACGATGCATCCTCGAAATAACGAACCATTAAGACGAGTTCGAAAAAGTCCGGAGTGACGCCCATCAAGTGATGAACCTTTTGGAATAAATCGTAGTCCAGTTGAGTCATGCGATCATTGTAGGTAACTCGGTTAAAGAAATTCATGAGGATCAACTGAGAGTCACGTTTTCCTCGATTGCCCGGCTTCGGTTTGCCCTCTTCGTCGGCGTTTCCACATTTGACAATGAGTAGTGTCGGCACACGACGATCACCGTGACCTAAAAGAATAATACGATTACTACTAGCAATGCGAAAAAGCTCATCACTCCCGATGCCGGAACTTACGAAAATGTCCCGCGTAAACCTTGGCTCTGTTGTGCTGTTTAACTCCGGCAGCAACGGCGATGTAGCTTTGGGGATTGGGATTCTTGTATTTCTCGTCAATTTCCAAGAGGCTAATGCAAATATCGGGTGTGCTTTTATCGTTACCACTACCAGTTATTATGCCATCGCATATCACAAACAACAGTTTGCGATCATCCGGATAATCCGTTGTGGCCAAGGACACGCAAGTGGTGCGTAAACCTTCTTCTCCCTCGGAGTAACATGTCACGAGCAAAACGGTGTACAGATCATTACCAATCTCTTCCATGTTAATTTTGCTTACCACGGTTCCCGAGTCATTGCGATGAGCCCACGGCGCATAACGACTCTTACGAGAACCAGCGATCACCTGAGGATACGTTGTTTCCTTCTTAACCTTTTTGGGATTATGCGAGAGACGATGGGAGATGAACCAACTGAAGAGACAGGCCATGAAAAAGCGGACAAAGATGACGCTCAATATAACTACTAACATAATGTAATTAAATAGGTCGGCAGTAAAACAGCCTAGCGTCTGTTTATCAATATGACCCGCGTAATATTTTTGAATGAGACACTTCATGGCAGTCATCGTTTGACTGCTCTTGGAGAACAGGCGGGTGGCATCCTTTCCATCGTTTGCATAAGTTCCCGATAATAAGCGGCGAATGATTGAGTCAACAATATCATTTGGGATCGGATCTGGGTTGTTATTCATGTAGGGATCCAGGTTGAGCACAACGCCGTCGACAACAAGATAGTTGGTTAACTTGTAAAGCTGATCCCAATCGTATCCCACCTGTTTGGTGGTATTCACTAAATTTAACGAGTCCAGCCTTGAAAGTGAGAGTGTGCCGAGGGGACATTGCGAGCTGTTGCTACACAAAGGTTGAGTGACCGCCGCAAAATTCTGTATTGAGCTGACCGCACAACTGGGTATGCTAGAAGTGTCCCTCTGAAAATAATTGGTAATGTCTTGACCATTTTGTTGCTCTGCCAACTGAAATAAATCCAAGGTGGGAGGAATCAAAGCTTTTGAAATGTCAAATTGCCATCCCAATATTCCAAGATGCCCTTTATGACAAAGAATAAATCGATTATTATTTTTTTTCTTCCTCTTCAATGGTTTTTCGAAGTTAAAAAAACCAACGAATAACATAGATATCTACCGGGGGCTTGTCCAAATCTTAAAAATTGACTGGGATTACTTGCCGCCGAAGCGGGACATAATGTCGGTCGAAGACCAACCGTCAAAAAGGCGACGATACCACTCATAATAAGTGCAATGAAACAAAGTGTAACCTTTTCTCTCCATGCTTGCTGCGACTGCTTATCATGAAAACCACCAAATTTTACCAAGAGAGTCGACGGAATCCAAAAGGTGACAACGCGAGAAAATATCACCCACGGATCGAGTGGTTTTCTCTCCTTCTTACCAGTTAAAAGAGGAGCAGCGGGTTGAAAACGTTCGGGTCTACTCAACGTCTTCCCACGACGAAGTGTGTTTCCCCGGGAGGGAGGCGCATCATTCGCGTCCATATCACTTTGCGTTTCTTTTGTTGCGGGTAATTAATTAGAACAAAAAAAACGGAGGGCGAGTTGGTGAGTGAGATATAATCCAATCCATATAAATGGAGACAACGCCACAGGATTTCCAAAGTTAGAAAATCCAGGGTTTGTCTCTCTCGTCCGGGGCAATCGTATGTTGATGATCGACACCTGTTATAGAAATAAGGACTTGGCATAATCCGGAAAAATCTTTAAAATTTATCTGCAAAAATGTATTAGATCGTATTTCGATCGAGCGTTGTAATCGGATTAATCGGATTAGGTACTTTGTAATTTATGTTATATGTATTCAGCGCATCGCGTGTTAACTAAAAAACTTGTCATTCGGCCAGCTTTTATTTTTAGAATGAATATGTTTGCGGTTAGATTCTCTCTGTTTCCCCTTATTTTTTAAATGCGATCTGCAACGGTCAACCGTGCGGCGTAACTATTTAACAATTACCTCATCCTTTATTATTTTTTTTTTTTTACATCCAAAAAAAAAATATCACAGCCTCAACTACAACAATAATTACAATACTATATGGTGAAATTTGTAGCACGCACCCTTTGATATAAATATCCATTCACAATCAATTATAATAATCACAAATAACTTACGTTTCCTCGAGCACGAAGAAGGAATAATTATAATGAATTGGCTATATATAACCTCTTGATACTAATGTTTTGTTAATACAACCAATACTTTTTTCGACAATCTCGATTGTTTTCTAACACGATAAACAAACAGTTGACCAAATATGTGATAACCGCGATCGACGGTTCACGTGTAAATCATTTCATCAATCTGGTCGACTAAGTCATTCCGAGGTTGATTTAGCGAATATGATAAACAACTATTATAAATAAGTTTATTGTTTTTTTGTTTTTTAATAATAAAAATAGTATAAAGAACAAATTATTTAATTATCTAATATAAATATTCTTTTTTTTTTTTTTTTAATCTACAATCATATCATGATGGTTTGTCTTTATTGAGAAATTACAGTAGTAGCAATAAATAATGACAATCAAAGTAATATAATAAATTTTAATCAATTTTTATTTTTAGATTATAAAATTTTAGATATACAGTATACAGTAACTCATAAAAGTTTTGCACTATCAAAAATTTAAATATCAAATCTGATTAATTAATAATAATTAGTATTTAAAAGTAATCAATAAAAAAAAAATTGATAATCTATAAAATACATATTTTTTTTTGTTTTTAATTATATTTTTGATTTTTTAAAAATCAAATCCATTAGAATCAAGATTACCAGGTTATTTTAGAAATATAAAATTAGCAAGGTAATATTGTAATAAAAATAACATCTACTAACATTGGATAGTTATTTTTAGTTATGATCTTCATTCTATTTCTATTTTTATCTATTTATTTATAATTATTTCTTTGATATTCTTTGATATTCTTATTGATACTTGATTAGCGTAGATCACTTTATCAAATGTAGCACATGACATAATTTACCGTAGATCAGGCAGCCCAGGAGGCCTAGGAGGCCCAAGTGGCCCAAGTGGCCCATTTTTACAAGTATATAAGCAGTCATAATTCGCTCAAAAGTAGGATAAGTTTGGATACAACTTCATTTGACTTTGGAAGTTTAGGAATAACTTCACTTTTCTTTTAGGAGATTAGATATTTTCTTTTAATTTTAGGACTAAAGGAATTGTCTTAGTTTTCTTGATTTATTAAAAAACTGAGGTTTTGAGTGAACCATATTTCTTGTGAAACAAAGTATGACACTGTTTAAAGAATTCTTGATAAATCTCTTCTTGAATATTTCTTTATTATAAACCATTTCTTTAAATTCTTTCTTTGAAAATTGTCCTTTTAAAAGCAATTTCACTTGTACACACCGGTCAAATATAAATTTAATCACATTTTGTGACGATAACAGAACCTTGCTCTCCAAAAAGGACAATTGGATAAATGACAACTTTGATAACTGGATTTCAAAACCACAACCAGATTTTGTAACTACTTATCCTGAATACTCTCTTGAAATTTCTTTTTCTTTTTCTTCAATCCATTCTTTGGTACTTCTAATCACAACCAATATAGTGCAATCCATTCTTCTTCACTACCTTATAATTTAGCAATGGATAATATTTTTCAGGATCCTTAGGATCAAGCAGGTCATCCTTACAACTTGAATCAACCTTGGAATAGGTATCCTCCACCAGGCCAGGATAATGATGAGGAAAGTAATGGATAGGAGAAGTGCAATAACAACTATTAGGATAACAGGGAGAATGAACAGTAACCACTACCACGCAGAAATAAGCTAGGCCAAAAGCAAAGGAATGAGCAAAGAGAGGAGTGACAAAATCAACTTATCTATAATTATGAACAAAATAATGATCAAAATTTCATTAAAGTAATGTGACAACTCTCTGAATCAAATGCTGGAATGAATGCTCCAAGGAATAACAACTAAAGAGAAACAAAGCTGGTGGATCTACCAATCTTCAAAGGAGGGGAACAGAATCCTCTTACTTGGCTTAATGAATTTGATGAAGAATACAGTGCAAATTGCATCAATGAACTACGCAAATTTGAAATACTTTCCTCTTATCTCAAAGAAATTGCATATACTTGGTGGTCTTTTATAAATGACCAAATCAATTACTGGGACAATGCAGCACATCCAGCTGAATCTTTTATGCATCAATTTCATATAACTTGATATATTACTTATCACAAATCAAGGTGGATGAATTAATTAAGGCAGTGAATACAAAAACCAGGAAAAACTGTGGATGAATACCTGAATACAATAACTTCTCTTTATAAGCGCATTGATCCTGACAACAACTACCCTTTTGAGGATAAAACAAGGCAATTCATCAATGGATTAAGGAATGAATTGAGTGAACTAGTTGAAATTTCTTGTCCTCTTGATATGGCTGAGGCTATCAATTATGCTCATGCTGCTGAATCAGCCTACTTTAGGGCTCTACTTTGAGTGCCTATTCTTTGAGACGCAATTACTTGAACCAGGATACTGATGAACTTAAGGATATTAAAATAGCAATACCTCAATTCTCTCAAGGATTTCAACAATTGGCAACTTCAAATAATAGGAGATATACTGATAACAATAATATTAGTAGCAATAATAGGGGAGGAAATTAAAGGAAAACTCGCACTTGCAACAATTGTGGAAAAGTTGAATATTTGCAACATGACTGTAGGTCATACTGCAACAACAATAATAGTAATAATAGAAACAATGGCAATAATTTTAGGAGGTCTTACAATAATAATAACAATAATAACAATAGAAATCAGTTTAACAATAACAACAATGAAAGAAGATATTTTATTTGCAACCAACCTGGATACTTGGCCAACCAATGTTCTCAAAGGAATATCAACAATTCAATGAATGGAAATGGATCTAGCAACAACCAATCACCTTTCAGCAACCAATCTAACAATCGCAATCAATGGCTCAATCTTTCTATGCAGGACTTTGCTGAAGCAGTAGATCTTATGGACCAGTATTTAAAAGATTAAGGGAACCTAAGGAGGATCAGAAATTCTCTATACTTTCAAATTCCTCTATATCAACATCTTCTCTACCTAAACAAATTGAACCAACTAATCCAAAAGCTGTGGAAGTATTGTATTGTGATGCAAAAATTGATGACCATCCTATCTATTTGATTATTGACACTGGGTCAACAAGCAGTATTATTTTTACCCATTTTTGGACTCTTTGGGATGCAATATCCATAAACCATCTTCTATTAATCTTGTGAACATAAATGAAGAAACAAAAATAATTATTGTGCAAGGTGAAGGATTTGCCAATCACTATCAAAGGAATTACCATACCAGTCACTGTGAATGTATCTGAATCAACTCAATATACTGTTATTGTGAGAAATGTCTGGATTACAAAAACCAAGGCTATTATCAATTATGATTTTCAAACTATGAATTTGAATTATTTGAGCAAAAATATTCAATGCAAGGTTATATATTAAAAAAAATCAAAATTTAATGATAATGGAAGGCCTATAGAAATTGAACCTTTGGATAAGGGAAAAGGAAAGGAAATCTATGATTTAACTAATAAATTGGAATATGAGGAAACTTTGGATAGACTTATGGGTCTATAGCACAGTGGTAGTATTCCCAGATCTTCATGCACTGTTTCCGAGTTCAATACCATTACGAGGCAGTATCACCTAAGCTTAGGTGGTACAAGAAGATCACATCTACCCCATGATGATGATCACTACCACCTCTGGCCAAGATCCCATCCAATCATGGGATAATCAAAAGATCACAAGATGCTTCAGCCGGTTTTAGTGCTGAAGTCACCTCGTTACAAGACAGGATTTAATAAGCATCTGCAGATAGGTCGAAGATCTGCATGCCATTAAAAAGGGACTAATAGAACTTAGGCATGTTAGAAGAGAGTCTCTACCAAAATCACAATCCATCCAAGACTCCACGTGATCACCCCATAGGCAAGCTATAATAGGTCATATAAAAAGGGTTACTGGCAAGACGAGATGATATCTAAGACTTTACGTGGATATTCCATAAGTATACTATAATAGGTATTGTAAAAAGAATACCCAGCAGAACGAGATATAAAAGGGGTCCTGTCGAACATTATTTGTGAAGGTTTCTGAAGGGTAATACAGACGCAGGTAGTAGGGTTTCTTTTGACAACAAGTCACATTGGCAGGCTAATAACCTGAAAATGAGTTCATATTAGTCTACACTGCAACAGACATCAAGTCTATATAATATTCTTCATAAATGTATATAATCAGGTGCATGCCGTATATAGCTAGAACTCTCTGTCACGTGTGTAATTTTGATGTATGAGACTAAGCCTTGTTATTCCCTTAATAAAAAAAAAAAAAAAAAAAGGAAACTTTGGATAAGAATCAAACTTACTGTGCACTCTTGGTGAACTCTAATGAACAATCACTGATGA